TCTATTTGGGGCGGGAGGAAGAAATTAGATTGATTTGCTTCCTCCCAAACCCCCCCCCTCCGCCCCCCTCCAGCTTCAACTGGGCCCTGAGGGACTCAGGAAAGCAGTTTCATTTCCCAAAGGGAGGGCGGGGCTTGGCTGATTTAAGGACCAAGGAGGGGAGGAGGCGGGCAGAGGAGAGGCAGGGCTGCCAGTGCGCCATCCTCGGGCAGCTAAGGTACAGAGGAGGCTGGGAGAGGGGGGCCCACAGACACAGAGACGGGGAGATGGGGAGGGGGGTGTGAGGAGAGGCAGACAGGCAGGGAGGGGTGAGGAAAAGAGGGAGCAGCGCAGAGAGACAGGGAGGCAGAGGCGGGGAGAGGGGTGCAGGGAAGGGGAGCAGAGGGCAGACAGGCAAGCACAGAACAGGGGACTTGGGGACCGGGGTCAGGGGACACGTGCCCAGAGAGAGTGGTGGCCACAGCGAGGGGGCTGAGGCGGGAGTCGCGCTGGGTGGGACCGGCCCCCGTCACAGTGGCCCTTGCTTCCCCTCCAACCCAGACACCAGCTCCCTGTGCGGGTCATGGCCTCGTTGGGTAAGTAAGCTGAGGGGGGCCCTGCGGGTGGGGGCGGAGCCTGCTCCCCCCCCCACCCCATACCCATGACCTGTCCTCTTCGCAGCCTGGCGCCTCCTTGCCCTGGTCCCCGTCCTCCTCGGCCTGGTGGCCTCCCTCCAATGGAAAACCGTCCACAGCCAGGACCCCTTCGAGATGTGCCTGCACGACCCGGACTATGAGCAGCTGCTCAAGGTGGTGACCTTGGGCCTCAATCGGACCTTAAAGCCCCAGAGGGTGATCGTGGTCGGTGCCGGTGTGGCCGGGCTGATGGCCGCCAAGGTGCTCAGCGATGCCGGCCACAAGGTGAGAGGTGCTGCTTGCCGTCTACCTGGAGTCTTTCCTGCTGCCGCTGGAGGGGCCTGGCCACGTCCCTGTGGGGGGCAGGGAGAGGGAGCTGTGCTTTCTGGGGTCTACCCAGAGGGAGCCTGTGCTACACTGGGGGGGGGACTTCGACCCCCGGCCCCACTCGCATTCCGGGGGGAAGTCTGGGGCCCTCCACACTCCTGGGGGAATTTGTGTCGGTGCCGGTGGACACCCCGCCCGAGAGGAAGTGCCCCCTGAGGTCTAACCACTGTCCCTCTCACTGAAATCCAAGAATGAGGATCGGACCATGCCAGGGGCTTCTGAGGAGTTTCCCCTCCCTGAGCTGGGAAGTCCCTCTCTAACCTGACCCGAAGCCTTCCTGCT